TGCATGCGCCCAATATCCTTTGCATCTTGGATCCTAGAATTAGTGGCGATGATGCAACCAAAGTGATCAAGTCCCTGAGCTTTGATTCGTGGGAGTCCTCCGACACGAGTCCTGGTCGTTGTGCTGCGGTGTTTCACACGCAATTGGCTTCAGGTGTGGTATTTGGGTCTTATGGAATAAGGACTATGTGAGTTTGGAACTCCTGGATTGTCATAGGCAGTGTATCAACCTCAAGTATTGGAAGTGGAATAAAGAGGTTTCCCAAATGACGACAATCTATGTTGCCCTAATGAGCATAACAGATGGGAGCTTTGGAACTCAATTAGTAGGATTAGACAGGGAACAAAGATCCCCTAAGTTTTGCTTGGAACCTTCTATTTTATCTCCAAACCGTCTAAAAATCAAGGTGGCGCACCATTCAATTTTGGAAGGGTGAAAACCTTAAACAAATGTATGGATGATAATGGTCTAGTCGACTTGGGATTCACTGGTCCAAATTTTACCTAATTTACAAGAAACACTTGAATTAAGGAATCCTAGATCGATGCATCTCCAACTCAGAAAGGCTCCAAGCCTTTCCAAAGTCGTCTAACCTCGGCTTACCAAGTTGAGATCCGACTACAGACCGATTCTGATGAGTAGCAAGCAAGGGCCCTTTGGATAAAAGTAACTTGGTGAGGAGATTCCATTTCCTTGCCCCTTGACTTGCTCACGTTTATTTTTCCCCTTTCTTGACAATGCTTGGAAGCCTAGGCAATGTCTTTGCTTTCCATTTTCCCTATAGGAACTTTCAGATAAGCTCAAAGAATGGAACACAGAAGTGTTTGGCAATATCTTCAAAAAAAGATGTCTCTAAAATAGACTCCAAGCCTTAGAATCCAAGAAATGATAAGTAACCTAGTGTCTAATCCAGAAATTAGGAGATACAAGCCAGAGAAGAGCTGGAAGAAACCCTATGGCAGGAAGAGGTTCTTTAGCTTCAAACGTCCAAAGCCAACTGGATCATCCAGGAAGACCAAAGTACAAGTTTCTTTCATAGCAGTACCCTAAGCAGAAGAAAAAGGATTAGAATTATTGGCCTAAAGACGAGGAAGGAAATTGGATTACTTATCCGGAAGCACTGCAAATCATGATCAGAGATCATTATGTTAACTTGTACAACAAGGATGAGCAGGCATATCACAAGTTGAAACCTGCCAACTTTTCAGCCACTAATGAAGGATCAGCTTCAAGACTTGGCAATCCATCAAGCATGGCTGATGTCAAAGCTATCGTGATGGAGATGGGTGGCCTCTATGCATCAAGTGAAGATGGCTACCAAGTCATTTTATTCTAGAAATGTTGGGGCAAGATTGCGGAAGATTTCTCAACCTTCATTTGTGTTTGTTTCTCAGACCACTCTAATATCAAACTTATCAACCAGACCTTGCTTGCACTCATTCGTAAGACTGAATCACCCCATTTTCATGAATCAGTTTTATCCTATTAGTCTTTGTAATGTTGGGTACAAAGTTGTTGCCGTATATCTTGCGAACAAGCTTAAGTACCTAATGCCTTTCCTTGTGCACCAGAATCAGTTTAGTTTTTTTTTCAAATAGACATATTACTGATAACATCCTGATTCTGCAGAAGAAAGACGGGGAAAAGGAGTGATGTTGTTGAGAGTTGACCTTGCAAAGGCTTACGATAGGATTGACTGGTGCTTCCTCGAGCAGACTCTTCTCTGTGTAGGGCTTCCAGTTTGCTTTGTTAGAATGGATATGAAATGTGTCACAACCACGAAAATGCAGGTCTTATGGAATGGAGGGAAAACATAAATCTTCAAGCCTTCCAGAGGACTTCGCCGGGGATGTCCTCTATCCCCTTATCTTTTTATCTTATGTGTAGAAAGACTCAGCCATTGCATTTTTCATGAGATGAACAACAAAAACGAAAATGTAGTTCTCTTTGCTGAGGCTTCTTGTTCGCACGCTGAGATTGTTTTGAGATGCTTGGATTCTTTCTGTCTTAGGCCAGGGGAGCTTATCGCTAAGGAGAAATCTAGGGTCTTCTTTTCCAAGAATGTTAAATATTATGAAAGGTAGAATATTTGTGGATCCTTGGAAATCCAGTGTACCCCAAGAGTCGTGATATGCCACATCATCGGTCAAAATTTTGATCATTGACTACTAACAGTCAAAGTTAACGGAAATTAAACATTGGGACATAACTGACGCATGATAAACATAGGGGTACAATTGTCAGAAAGTCCAAACTATAGGCCTTTTTCCGGTATTAGGCCTATTTTTAAATAAAATATCCATTTTTATAGGTGGAAAATATATAATTTTTTAAGTGAAAGGTGTTGACTTGACAATGACGTGGCACGTTGACCATCAGTCAATGTGTTTGACCATCAAAGATAACGGTCAAACATCGAGTTTGGCCAATTTAGTAACTTTGATGTATAGTTTGGGCCCGAATGTTATAGATCGAAAAAATTGGTCAGGATGTTTATTATGTGCAAAATTCAGGTCATACAAATATATTAACGCTTGTTTTTTTGTGACAATGTTCTTGAGTATCGGATCAGTTATGGCCATTTCATTAATTTCAGCAAGTTCTTGTTTTGTAACTCCTTCCTAGCCCAAGTGACTCACTCCTACTGTCACTCTAGAAAATGGCCAAGTGAAAGAAGCAAAAGCAGAATCATAGAAACAGTTTCTATAATAGAAACAGTACTTGGATTCAGTACTTGGATTCATACAATCAAACCTAACATACAGATCTAGGGTTTCCCATACCCAGATGAATGGGAGAACTACTCCATGGAGAAAGAAGTAAAAGCTGAATCAGATGCGGAAACCATACTGTGAAGGATGGATTTCAGCTCCTGGACGTTGATCGTCACTCCTCCAAGCTCAAGCCAAGCTCCAATGGTGATGAAGATCAAGCTAGGGCACTTGGAGACTCTTGTTCGTCGCTTTCTCTCTCTAGGAATCGCTCTGTCTCTCTAAAACTCGAATCCCCCTCTCTTTTGGCTGAAATCTGCCTAAAAGGGCATCACTGGCCAGAACATGGTCGAGGGCACGGCCGTGTTCTGCTCCAGCCCGCCCGTGCCCTCTGCCACGTGGTAAATACACGGCCACGGTCTGGGGAAAACACGGGCGTGTTTTGAAGTAGGACACGGCCGTGTTTTGAATTGACCCCGCCCGTGTTTTCCTCTTTTCTTCATTCAACTCTCGGCAGTAAAAGCACTAGCGGCCCTTTGGTGTACACGGCCGTGTTCTTCAAACACACGCCTAACTTTTAAGCACTATCTCCAACTCTCACATTACAGATCGAGCATACTCTTCTCTGTGTAGGGCTTCCAGTCTGCTTTGTTAGAATGGTTATGGAGTGTGTCACAACCACGAAAATGCAGGTCTTATGGAATGGAGGGAAAACATAAATCTTCAAGCCTTCCAGAGGACTTCGCCGGGGATGTCCTCTATCCCCTTATCTTTTTATCTTATGTGTAGAAAGACTCAGCCATTGCATTTTTCATGAGATGAACAACAAAAACGAAAATGTAGTTCTCTTTGCTGAGGCTTCTTGTTCGCACGCTGAGATTGTTTTGAGATGCTTGGATTCTTTCTGTCTTAGGCCAGGGGAGCTTATCACTAAGGAGAAATCTAGGGTCTTCTTTTCCAAGAATGTTAAATATTATGAAAGGTGGAATATTTGTGGATCCTTGGAAATCCAGTCTACCCCTTACCTTGGTAAATACCTTGGGGTTCTTGTTATTCATGGCAGATTATCCAAAAACACATATAAGTCAGAAACTCTACAAATAGTACTGGCGGATAGAAATAGGCTGGTTGTCGGTTAGTTTCGGTTATAACTGGTAACCGATTGGTCGGTTATCGATTAACCGAACTGCCGACCCCCCTTACCGACAACTGACCGAAATAGGTATTTAGCCTTCGGTTATCTCGATTTTTGGTTAACCGAACCACCTCCAAGACCAAAACCATCTCGATTAGCCTCCAAACACCGACTGAATTTCGGTTGTCTCAGTTTTCGATGAGTGAATAACTGGCCGATTATCGATTTAACCGACCGGTTAACCGGTAACCGAAACTCCACCCCTAGATAGAAATAGAATGGATCGCCAGACCCAACCTATAGCTCAATCTAAGAGAAGCTCTAGTCCAATAACATTGACTCAGGATCTAAAACTTATAGCCCAAGAAGAGGAACTTCCATCTGGGCCGTAGCACCAATTCACTTGCTAGCCTTACAATTTGGGCCTTGATTCACTAAAAAAATAGACTTGGGCCTTGATCAAGCGCTTCTATCTCCCCTGTTGGCTTCGTGGACTGGGCCCGCTTATGATGGATTTCGATCCCTCGAGCTCGAGGGATTAGGGATGGCAATGGGTTGGGTTGGGGCGGGTTTTGTCAAACCCAAACCCAAACCCATGGGTTTCTCCGCCAAAACAATCCGGGGTAAAACTCGCTGGGTTTGAAAAACTCAAACCCAACCCAACCCGTTGGGTATCCGCGGGTTCGTGGGTACCCGTGGGTTTTTGTGGTAAAAAATTTACAATAACAAGTTTCTTTTAAAATAAAAGTTTAACATTAATGTTCTCATACAAATTATTCATACAAAAAATACCAATCTAGAGCATACAAGCAAACCGCAAATGATCAATACAAATTGTTCAAAATTAAAAATAAACATCTATAAACAATAAGATTAATTGAAAGCTTCTTACTCGTCAACTAAGTTTCTTCACTCTCAACTTCATAATATCAACTTCATTCTAAACAATTAGAAACAACAAATTATATATGTCTCCACAAACATAAAGAATATTAATTGTTTAAGGAAGATATATTATTTAGAATATTAAATATACCTGAAAAGTATTTATATGTGTGTGGGCGGGTACCCATAGGGCGGGTTTATCTAAACCCAAACCCAACCCGAACCGGTGAATAGTGTAGCGGTGTTCGCTCAGGATCTAAAATTGCTGTCACGGCTATCTTCGAGTTTTCTGACTTCAACTGGAAGAACAGGTCAGGGCAGTAAGCTACGAGTCCGACTAACAATTCGCGCTCTGAGAATACAGATTTTGCCCACCCTTTTCAGAGCGGGAGCGTGAGGCTATCGCCGGCGATTTCCCCGCCGCCGCAGAATCATCGACGCCGTGAATCAGAATGATGAAAAGTGCGGACAAGAAAAGGAAGAAGGAGAGTAAGAAGTGCGAGTTTGAATTCTGCAAAGTATGCAATCTCAATCACGACCACGGCAACCGCCACAAGTACTTCCCCAACCACACCAAATCGCTCTCCACTTTCCTCCATCGGTTCCAGACCAAGCTCTCCGACATTCGCTTCTTCCTCAGAAACCCTACCATTCTCCGTCCCGAGCTCGCCTCTCGCAATCGCTTCTGGTGCGTCGTCTGCGATGCTGAAGTCGACGAGATCGGTAGCTCATTCGCCTGGTAAGATTCTCCACAGATTTTATTTCCCCCGCCTTGTGTTTTTCCTTCCAACGTCTAAGCCTGACGCACGAGTGCCCAAAATCTCTATGTAATGTGCTTTCGACAGCGCTAATGCAATTAATCACCTTGCAAGTGCGGATCATGCCAAAAAATTGAAGCATTTTCTATGGAAATATGGTGGTGGGATGGATCACGCCGACAACTTTCGGTTCTCAGAAGCTGATTTAGCCAAGGTATCGTAGTCGTTTTCGGATGACATATGAAGCATATTTGAATCCTCTGTGGCAAGGGATGTCTCTGGTTTGAACAGCTTTTACTTTTCTTGTACCTGCAGTGGGAGAAGAAGTGCCATTCACTGAACGACGGATCTTCATCATGTAGTGATCGAACTAATGGGCTGCAAATCGGACCTTCAAATGATATCCAGAATGAGCTCAGCTATAAGAGCATTAATGACTTTGAAAACAATAATTTGGGTCCTCTTACTCCAAAATTTCTAAATAATGTTTTGCCTTTACAATACAATACGCATAAGTATCAGATATCACAGTCAGGACACCCAGCAACAGCCGCTGATGGTAGAATTGTTTGTGGTGCTCACATCACTGCATCTGGAAATGCTTGTTCAGCTTCAGACAGGTGGAATTCAAACAACATAACAGGTATTCGTTTCTACGCCCAGTTTAGTTGATGTCTCGTATCTGATTATACCCTTGCTTATGCCTTGTATACTTTGAACACATAGGTTGGCAAAACAGTCAGCATTGCATCCCTCACACAGATGCGGTTGGCACAAGTAATTTTGGGAATGGAGGAGTAAGTGTACTTCTTACTCCATTTGACCTTTCATTCAGGTCTTGGATGCGTTAGACCTTTTGATGGTTCTTTCAGTTGCAAGATTTTTATATTATTTCATTTTCAAGTACATGTCTCTGAAACTGTTTGAGTATTTGCAGAGATTTGTCATTCTTGTCCATGATCCAGTATCTTTATCCTTTTGTCAACATGATTCTGTATCTTGTGTTATAGTTCCAGTTCTACCATGTTGCCTGCAACTATAGGAGCATTCCGCCCAAGTTAGAATTTGTAGTTGTCGTGTCGGTATCACTCCTGTTGTGAATATACGATTGAATCGAAACCTCTTACTACTTGTCATGTTGTCACAAGCACACTTTATTGTGATTCTATTGAAATTTTTGTTAAATCTTTTTTAGGGGTCGTTTGGATTTGGGCCCGTATCCCTCCTGAATTCCTCAAACCAAATTTCCTAATCCAAACGGCCCCTTAATTTATTTATAGTTTGAATTTTTTAAATAATAATTACAATATGATGTGGATAAACTTATACTTGTTTGGAAAGCTGTATCAGGGTAAACACATGGCCATTGGAGGGAGCAATTTACACGGTAAGAATCTTGATTGAATTCAGCTGTTATATTTATCACTCTATGTATCTGTATGTTGGTTTTTCAAGTTGGTCATAATGCTGAATTCATTTGTTGCTGGAGGAGCTGCACAGGCCCAGGAGAAATTTCTGGTTCAGCATGGTCTGCGTAGTGGCTAATAATGTCTTCTTCATTTGCAGAACAGAGCTAAAATGAATTATCTTATTCATTAGCTCTATACTCAGCTTATGGTAATCTTCTCAGGTTTGGCTAGTATTGCTCAAGTCTCTGTCATGGCTCCTGGGCTGGCAGAAGGAAATGTGCACACAGGAGCACCTCCTCCTTGGCTTGAGATGACAGTGGAACATCATCCTGAGGATACCTCTGTTCCTCTGTCTAGTAAGAAAGGGAAATCCAAATTGAATCCAAAACGGGTGGGTGCAGCTTGGGCAGAAAAGAGAAAAGCCGAACTTGAGATGGAGAAGAGAGGAGAGATTGTCAACAGTGATTGTGGCCCCAACTGGTTACCAAATTTTGGTAGAGTTTGGCAGTCTGGAAGTCGCAAGGAATCTCTCAAAGAATTTGAAAGTGAAAAACCGGAGCTTCCCAAAGTTGAAGTTGATCCTGAAATGCCGATTACACTACGACCTTACGTCAGTAAGCGAATGGTGAGATTATGCTCACTTTGGCCACTAAAGATGATCTCATTTCGGTGAAATATATAACTCATGGAAAGTTCGCCATATTTCGATCTGTCTCATGCGCTTCATTTCATGATGGTTCATTTACAAAGATGAAAGTCTGATGTTGCTTGTTTCGCTTTGTTCTCTATTGCAGCGAGAAGATACAAATGAGTGATGGAAAATGTAGTTTGCGGTGTATGATTGATGAGGAGTGTAACTGATAGTAAGTATGTAGAAATTTCTCTGCCGTACTTCCCCAAAATTTTAGTTGTTACAAGCTGTCTCTTTCATTTGACGGTTGGCAAGGGGCTGCCATTAATCTCATCAACAGAAACAAACAGGCTTGTCTATGGTGTAATCTAAATGTTGCTTACATGTACACACTTTTCAGGTTGACGTTATTCTTTCTGTGGAGGTGAATTGTGTCCGGTTGTCAATGGAGAAGACAGTCATGGGCCCGGATGGAATGTGGCAACCAAATGGAATGGAGAAGGAATGTATATCGGGCATGCCAAAGATTGAAGGTGAAATGTGGCTGTTAGGAATTTAACTCAGGAAACAGAAGTTCAATTTTGTTGTTGTAAGTAGTAAACAGCCTTGCCTTTCCACTTGCTCTCTACTGCATCTTCCTGTGCAACACTCAACTCTACCTCCTACAGCAAGATCACAAGGTCACTTCTCTGTGAAACCAGACACCGTTTCGTCTTTGAACACTAGTTTGGAACTGTTATTTTAATGAGAAAATTTGGATTGTGGCACTATTCTGTACATGCATCAAGAAGGCGCGAGGTTGGGCGTTGAGACCTTGCCTAGCTAGGTGCTCGCTTAGGCGTAGTCTAAGCAATGCCTAGGGTTTGGTAGAAAAACAAGAGCCTGCAGGTTGAATTCAGAGGTCGGGAGCTCGAGGCTTTATCCATACCACAGTCTGCAGTCTCCCTGGCATGCTTCAGCAGCTGGTATGGGGTGGGTACTCAACTTTGTGGATCCAGGTGGCATTGGATCTTGCTTATCTTCTCGGTGTCATCCTCCAGAAACAAAGTGTTGCTCCCTGAATTGAGGGAGGAGACAGGAGAGCTGTATGTACTGTATTCCCAGGCCAAAGATCAGCAGGTTGCATGGCGCTTTGCTCTCTACCTGCTGAGATTTGAAACATTCTAAAACATGCATAAATCTAGCGTAAAATTGAATCTCAGGCGATGTAAACGCCACAAGCATCACAAGATAAATGATAATGGGGTAAAATCATGTGTAATTAATTATGCCCAAATCAATATTTCTAAATTTTCATTTGTAAATCCATCAAAGCCGCCCAATCACCTAACCCATCCACAATATACGGCTTGGATGGATTTGGGTCATTTTCTTCTTCATCCTAATCTTCAATCCCAATCTACAATAACTATTTCAATTCTCTGTTTCGAGCTTCCTCGGATAGCATTCACTACCACTGCCCATATCAATATCATCATCATTTTCAAAGAATCATACAACCAGATCATCACCTCTCCTCTAACATTGTGCGTTTGCCTCTTCGTGTTTGTGGATGGTGAAGGAAGGGATGCCAAATTCAACGACAAAGGCTTGATCATCATCCCTGTTATGGGACAATATAAGTACCACATCGGCAATACAAGGAAAGAAACCCTTGTATATCAGTGTCCACCTAGCTCATCAGTACGAGGCCTTTTAGTGACTACAGCCAAAAGTAAAATCGTGCAGGCTTGCCCCAAAGCTCATCTTAAATTAGAGCTTGTCGTAGTATCATGATGAATTAAGGTGTTCTGTTTTGGCATTTTCTTTGTTTTTATGCTCGATTTTAGGCTCATCTATTGCTTTGCTTGAGAATCTCGCTTTTAGCCACACTTTGCTTTCTCAGATGGCGGAAACCGAATGGCAGTGTAGTTTTCAATTCTCTTCCTTTATTTTTATTTAAATGATGATGAATTGTTAAATCTTTTTATTTTTTCTTCTGTTAAACTAGCTAGGAACGTACGGAGTACGTAGAGAATCAGCTCAGGCAGGCAGGGGGATGTGATTTGGTATTTTTTGCTCCATCGCGAAGCAATTCATTGCTTGAGAGAAGGACTACTGTTGCCCACATGCTTAATTGCACCTTTGTGCCTTCCTTCAATGGTGAGTTAATTAGAACGTCTTCATATATATATATATATATAGGGGCGAGGTGATCAGGTAGGTAGGTGTTTTGCCTTCATTAATTTCTCCAATTCGACGAGCAGCCGTGGAGAGAGGAGAGAGTCAAAGAAGACCGACCAATAACAACAATAATAAGAATGTCGGATTGGGCACCGATACTGCTGGGCGTGCTGCTGTTCATAGTGCTGTCGCCGGGGCTGGTATTCCAGATACCAGGGAACACAAAGCACTTCGAGTTTGGGAGCTTGAGAACCAATGGGAAGGCAGTCATTGTCCACACACTCCTCTTCTTCGCCGTCTTCACCATCCTCATTCTGGCCCTTCATGTCCGTATCTACATGGATTAGCTACCTAGTCTTCTTTCTTTTGTTGCTACGTTTGCTTATGTCTTGAACCCGATTTCATTTCTGTTTTGGGTTGCTATTGTTCCACTTGTATTTGTTTTTTTTTCTAATATATTTGTATGGCCTGAACTTTGCACATAATAAACATTCAAGTCAATTTTTTCGATCTATAACATTCTGGCCCAAACTATACATCAAAGTTACTATATTGGCCAAACTCGATGTTTGACCGTTATCTTTGACGGTCAAACGCGTTGACTAACTGTCAATGCGCCACGTCATTGCCAAGACAACAACTTTCACTTAAAAAGTTATATATTTTCCACCTATTACCATTTTTATTTTTCATTTTGAACCAAAAAAGATAAATAAAGGAAAATGTTATTTCGTGTCCCTTATATCTTCCATAATTTTTTAAATAATTTTTTTTAAATTCCATCATTTATTTTCACTGATTTCAAATTAATCTTCTACATAATACCCATTTTCGATTTTTTCACAAATATAAACAAATAAAGTCAAAATTAAAAACTTTCCACCATTTATTTTCACTCATTCCGAATTAATTTCCAATTTTCCACAAATATGAACAAAGAATCAAAAAATGAAAAAAAAAAATAATAAAAATGAAAATTTAAAAAGTTTCACTATTTATTTTCAATAATTTCTAATTAATTTTCAACATAATACCCATTTGTTTTTACATTTTTATTTAAATTGTTGTATTTTTAAGGCCTAATACCAGAAAAGGGCCTATAGTTTGGACTTTTTGTCATTTGTATCCTTATGTTTATCTTGCGTCAGTTATGTCCCAACGTTTATAGTATCCATGTCAAAAATGTCCTCCGTCATCTTGTTGACCGTTAAACTTAACAGTTGACCAAACGATGGTCAAAGTTAATTTGACTAACTATGATGTGGCACCAACATGTCACTTGTGAAAAATGCCACATCATCAACAATAATATTTTAAATGAGTACAATATATTTCTTTTCATTTCCTGCTAATATATTATATATATATTTTTCAATTAATAAATAATAAAAAAATTAAAATAAACCCCTCATCTTCCTATCCAACAACCTCTGCCAAAGATTTCCTTGTTCCTTCGTCACCGTTGCTGCAACCTTCTGATTCTTCATGGAAACTCAATAGCTTCCTGTAATCCACCTAGTTTGAATTTGTTCTCCTCCATTTCATCTATTCCCCAAATCCAAACCCACAATCGTTAATCCAAACCCATTTATACTCACCTTCTCCCCTGTTAATTCCCCCGACCAATCTACGAGAAACGCAGTCAGCGTCGACATCGAAAGAAAAGCCGACAAATCAGCTGGAGGCAAAGACGCCGCTTGCGTTGGGTCGACTCGAACACGCCTTCTGGTTTCGCAAAGAACAGAGCATTCTAGCCGGCGGATCTAAAAAAGCAGCGGCGACAGCGACGAACCGCAGCAAGCTCCTATCGCAGCAACAAGCAGAGAAAGAATCGTCGCGCTCCAGCCGGTAGGTCTGACCTCTGTGGCTCTGTTCCAATCGAACTCTTCATTGAGGAGGATCAAAAGAAATGTGATGAATTGAGATGAATCCGCCGACCTCTAGAATGGTTCACCAATTTGGGATTTTCTCCCTTTTGGGGTTCAATAGAAAGGGTCAAAGGGGAAGAAGAGACGCAGGAAGCCGGAGGGGGTTTGGTTGGATTTTTATTTTTGGGATGTACCGGGGAAAGGAGGTATAAGCCGGGAAGGAAGAACTAGGGATGTACTTCGCATCGATGACGGGGAGGCAATTTTGAAGGAGGAGGCGCAGAAGGAAATCGGGGACTTCGATGGTAACGGCGACTGGATGCTGGAGCTTGGGGACCTCGTCCGGATGGTCGATGGCGGCGGGGATTGTGACGGAGATCCACATGATGGCGGATTGGCGGTGTCGTCGAGGACAGTGGTGCTTGCTTGATGCCACTGACGGCGAAGAGGACGGAGATCAATGATGGCTTTATGGATTGATTTTTTATTTAATTTATATTAAGTGACATGACAAAAAATCCACATATGCCACATCATCGGTCAAAATTTTGATCATTGACTACTAACAGTCAAAGTTAACGGAAATTAAACATTGGGACATAACTGACGCATGATAAACATAGGGGTACAATTGTCAGAAAGTCCAAACTATAGGCCTTTTTCCGGTATTAGGCCTATTTTTAAATAAAATATCCATTTTTATAGGTGGAAAATATATAATTTTTTAAGTGAAAGGTGTTGACTTGACAATGACGTGGCACGTTGACCATCAGTCAATGTGTTTGACCATCAAAGATAACGGTCAAACATCGAGTTTGGCCAATTTAGTAACTTTGATGTATAGTTTGGGCCCGAATGTTATAGATCGAAAAAATTGGTCAGGATGTTTATTATGTGCAAAATTCAGGTCATACAAATATATTAACGCTTGTTTTTTTGTGACAATGTTCTTGAGTATCGGATCAGTTATGGCCATTTCATTAATTTCAGCAAGTTCTTGTTTTGTAACTCCTTCCTAGCCCAAGTGACTCACTCCTACTGTCACTCTAGAAAATGGCCAAGTGAAAGAAGCAAAAGCAGAATCATAGAAACAGTTTCTATAATAGAAACAGTACTTGGATTCAGTACTTGGATTCATACAATCAAACCTAACATACAGATCTAGGGTTTCCCATACCCAGATGAATGGGAGAACTACTCCATGGAGAAAGAAGTAAAAGCTGAATCAGATGCGGAAACCATACTGTGAAGGATGGATTTCAGCTCCTGGACGTTGATCGTCACTCCTCCAAGCTCAAGCCAAGCTCCAATGGTGATGAAGATCAAGCTAGGGCACTTGGAGACTCTTGTTCGTCGCTTTCTCTCTCTAGGAATCGCTCTGTCTCTCTAAAACTCGAATCCCCCTCTCTTTTGGCTGAAATCTGCCTAAAAGGGCATCACTGGCCAGAACATGGTCGAGGGCACGGCCGTGTTCTGCTCCAGCCCGCCCGTGCCCTCTGCCACGTGGTAAATACACGGCCACGGTCTGGGGAAAACACGGGCGTGTTTTGAAGTAGGACACGGCCGTGTTTTGAATTGACCCCGCCCGTGTTTTCCTCTTTTCTTCATTCAACTCTCGGCAGTAAAAGCACTAGCGGCCCTTTGGTGTACACGGCCGTGTTCTTCAAACACACGCCTAACTTTTAAGCACTATCTCCAACTCTCACATTACAGATCGAGCATACTCTTCTCTGTGTAGGGCTTCCAGTCTGCTTTGTTAGAATGGTTATGGAGTGTGTCACAACCACGAAAATGCAGGTCTTATGGAATGGAGGGAAAACATAAATCTTCAAGCCTTCCAGAGGACTTCGCCGGGGATGTCCTCTATCCCCTTATCTTTTTATCTTATGTGTAGAAAGACTCAGCCATTGCATTTTTCATGAGATGAACAACAAAAACGAAAATGTAGTTCTCTTTGCTGAGGCTTCTTGTTCGCACGCTGAGATTGTTTTGAGATGCTTGGATTCTTTCTGTCTTAGGCCAGGGGAGCTTATCACTAAGGAGAAATCTAGGGTCTTCTTTTCCAAGAATGTTAAATATTATGAAAGGTGGAATATTTGTGGATCCTTGGAAATCCAGTCTACCCCTTACCTTGGTAAATACCTTGGGGTTCTTGTTATTCATGGCAGATTATCCAAAAACACATATAAGTCAGAAACTCTACAAATAGTACTGGCGGATAGAAATAGGCTGGTTGTCGGTTAGTTTCGGTTATAACTGGTAACCGATTGGTCGGTTATCGATTAACCGAACTGCCGACCCCCCTTACCGACAACTGACCGAAATAGGTATTTAGCCTTCGGTTATCTCGATTTTTGGTTAACCGAACCACCTCCAAGACCAAAACCATCTCGATTAGCCTCCAAACACCGACTGAATTTCGGTTGTCTCAGTTTTCGATGAGTGAATAACTGGCCGATTATCGATTTAACCGACCGGTTAACCGGTAACCGAAACTCCACCCCTAGATAGAAATAGAATGGATCGCCAGACCCAACCTATAGCTCAATCTAAGAGAAGCTCTAGTCCAATAACATTGACTCAGGATCTAAAACTTATAGCCCAAGAAGAGGAACTTCCATCTGGGCCGTAGCACCAATTCACTTGCTAGCCTTACAATTTGGGCCTTGATTCACTAAAAAAATAGACTTGGGCCTTGATCAAGCGCTTCTATCTCCCCTGTTGGCTTCGTGGACTGGGCCCGCTTATGATGGATTTCGATCCCTCGAGCTCGAGGGATTAGGGATGGCAATGGGTTGGGTTGGGGCGGGTTTTGTCAAACCCAAACCCAAACCCATGGGTTTCTCCGCCAAAACAATCCGGGGTAAAACTCGCTGGGTTTGAAAAACTCAAACCCAACCCAACCCGTTGGGTATCCGCGGGTTCGTGGGTACCCGTGGGTTTTTGTGGTAAAAAATTTACAATAACAAGTTTCTTTTAAAATAAAAGTTTAACATTAATGTTCTCATACAAATTATTCATACAAAAAATACCAATCTAGAGCATACAAGCAAACCGCAAATGATCAATACAAATTGTTCAAAATTAAAAATAAACATCTATAAACAATAAGATTAATTGAAAGCTTCTTACTCGTCAACTAAGTTTCTTCACTCTCAACTTCATAATATCAACTTCATTCTAAACAATTAGAAACAACAAATTATATATGTCTCCACAAACATAAAGAATATTAATTGTTTAAGGAAGATATATTATTTAGAATATTAAATATACCTGAAAAGTATTTATATGTGTGTGGGCGGGTACCCATAGGGCGGGTTTATCTAAACCCAAACCCAACCCGAACCGGTGAATAGTGTAGCGGTGTTCGCTCAGGATCTAAAATTGCTGTCACGGCTATCTTCGAGTTTTCTGACTTCAACTGGAAGAACAGGTCAGGGCAGTAAGCTACGAGTCCGACTAACAATTCGCGCTCTGAGAATACAGATTTTGCCCACCCTTTTCAGAGCGGGAGCGTGAGGCTATCGCCGGCGATTTCCCCGCCGCCGCAGAATCATCGACGCCGTGAATCAGAATGATGAAAAGTGCGGACAAGAAAAGGAAGAAGGAGAGTAAGAAGTGCGAGTTTGAATTCTGCAAAGTATGCAATCTCAATCACGACCACGGCAACCGCCACAAGTACTTCCCCAACCACACCAAATCGCTCTCCACTTTCCTCCATCGGTTCCAGACCAAGCTCTCCGACATTCGCTTCTTCCTCAGAAACCCTACCATTCTCCGTCCCGAGCTCGCCTCTCGCAATCGCTTCTGGTGCGTCGTCTGCGATGCTGAAGTCGACGAGATCGGTAGCTCATTCGCCTGGTAAGATTCTCCACAGATTTTATTTCCCCCGCCTTGTGTTTTTCCTTCCAACGTCTAAGCCTGACGCACGAGTGCCCAAAATCTCTATGTAATGTGCTTTCGACAGCGCTAATGCAATTAATCACCTTGCAAGTGCGGATCATGCCAAAAAATTGAAGCATTTTCTATGGAAATATGGTGGTGGGATGGATCACGCCGACAACTTTCGGTTCTCAGAAGCTGATTTAGCCAAGGTATCGTAGTCGTTTTCGGATGACATATGAAGCATATTTGAATCCTCTGTGGCAAGGGATGTCTCTGGTTTGAACAGCTTTTACTTTTCTTGTACCTGCAGTGGGAGAAGAAGTGCCATTCACTGAACGACGGATCTTCATCATGTAGTGATCGAACTAATGGGCTGCAAATCGGACCTTCAAATGATATCCAGAATGAGCTCAGCTATAAGAGCATTAATGACTTTGAAAACAATAATTTGGGTCCTCTTACTCCAAAATTTCTAAATAATGTTTTGCCTTTACAATACAATACGCATAAGTATCAGATATCACAGTCAGGACACCCAGCAACAGCCGCTGATGGTAGAATTGTTTGTGGTGCTCACATCACTGCATCTGGAAATGCTTGTTCAGCTTCAGACAGGTGGAATTCAAACAACATAACAGGTATTCGTTTCTACGCCCAGTTTAGTTGATGTCTCGTATCTGATTATACCCTTGCTTATGCCTTGTATACTTTGAACACATAGGTTGGCAAAACAGTCAGCATTGCATCCCTCACACAGATGCGGTTGGCACAAGTAATTTTGGGAATGGAGGAGTAAGTGTACTTCTTACTCCATTTGACCTTTCATTCAGGTCTTGGATGCGTTAGACCTTTTGATGGTTCTTTCAGTTGCAAGATTTTTATATTATTTCATTTTCAAGTACATGTCTCTGAAACTGTTTGAGTATTTGCAGAGATTTGTCATTCTTGTCCATGATCCAGTATCTTTATCCTTTTGTCAACATGATTCTGTATCTTGTGTTATAGTTCCAGTTCTACCATGTTGCCTGCAACTATAGGAGCATTCCGCCCAAGTTAGAATTTGTAGTTGTCGTGTCGGTATCACTCCTGTTGTGAATATACGATTGAATCGAAACCTCTTACTACTTGTCATGTTGTCACAAGCACACTTTATTGTGATTCTATTGAAATTTTTGTTAAATCTTTTTTAGGGGTCGTTTGGATTTGGGCCCGTATCCCTCCTGAATTCCTCAAACCAAATTTCCTAATCCAAACGGCCCCTTAATTTATTTATAGTTTGAATTTTTTAAATAATAATTACAATATGATGTGGATAAACTTATACTTGTTTGGAAAGCTGTATCAGGGTAAACACATGGCCATTGGAGGGAGCAATTTACACGGTAAGAATCTTGATTGAATTCAGCTGTTATATTTATCACTCTATGTATCTGTATGTTGGTTTTTCAAGTTGGTCATAATGCTGAATTCATTTGTTGCTGGAGGAGCTGCACAGGCCCAGGAGAAATTTCTGGTTCAGCATGGTCTGCGTAGTGGCTAATAATGTCTTCTTCATTTGCAGAACAGAGCTAAAATGAATTATCTTATTCATTAGCTCTATACTCAGCTTATGGTAATCTTCTCAGGTTTGGCTAGTATTGCTCAAGTCTCTGTCATGGCTCCTGGGCTGGCAGAAGGAAATGTGCACACAGGAGCACCTCCTCCTTGGCTTGAGATGACAGTGGAACATCATCCTGAGGATACCTCTGTTCCTCTGTCTAGTAAGAAAGGGAAATCCAAATTGAATCCAAAACGGGTGGGTGCAGCTTGGGCAGAAAAGAGAAAAGCCGAACTTGAGATGGAGAAGAGAGGAGAGATTGTCAACAGTGATTGTGGCCCCAACTGGTTACCAAATTTTGGTAGAGTTTGGCAGTCTGGAAGTCGCAAGGAATCTCTCAAAGAATTTGAAAGTGAAAAACCGGAGCTTCCCAAAGTTGAAGTTGATCCTGAAATGCCGATTACACTACGACCTTACGTCAGTAAGCGAATGGTGAGATTATGCTCACTTTGGCCACTAAAGATGATCTCATTTCGGTGAAATATATAACTCATGGAAAGTTCGCCATATTTCGATCTGTCTCATGCGCTTCATTTCATGATGGTTCATTTACAAAGATGAAAGTCTGATGTTGCTTGTTTCGCTTTGTTCTCTATTGCAGCGAGAAGATACAAATGAGTGATGGAAAATGTAGTTTGCGGTGTATGATTGATGAGGAGTGTAACTGATAGTAAGTATGTAGAAATTTCTCTGCCGTACTTCCCCAAAATTTTAGTTGTTACAAGCTGTCTCTTTCATTTGACGGTTGGCAAGGGGCTGCCATTAATCTCATCAACAGAAACAAACAGGCTTGTCTATGGTGTAATCTAAATGTTGCTTACATGTACACACTTTTCAGGTTGACGTTATTCTTTCTGTGGAGGTGAATTGTGTCCGGTTGTCAATGGAGAAGACAGTCATGGGCCCGGATGGAATGTGGCAACCAAATGGAATGGAGAAGGAATGTATATCGGGCATGCCAAAGATTGAAGGTGAAATGTGGCTGTTAGGAATTTAACTCAGGAAACAGAAGTTCAATTTTGTTGTTGTAAGTAGTAAACAGCCTTGCCTTTCCACTTGCTCTCTACTGCATCTTCCTGTGCAACACTCAACTCTACCTCCTACAGCAAGATCACAAGGTCACTTCTCTGTGAAACCAGACACCGTTTCGTCTTTGAACACTAGTTTGGAACTGTTATTTTAATGAGAAAATTTGGATTGTGGCACTATTCTGTACATGCATCAAGAAGGCGCGAGGTTGGGCGTTGAGACCTTGCCTAGCTAGGTGCTCGCTTAGGCGTAGTCTAAGCAATGCCTAGGGTTTGGTAGAAAAACAAGAGCCTGCAGGTTGAATTCAGAGGTCGGGAGCTCGAGGCTTTATCCATACCACAGTCTGCAGTCTCCCTGGCATGCTTCAGCAGCTGGTATGGGGTGGGTACTCAACTTTGTGGATCCAGGTGGCATTGGATCTTGCTTATCTTCTCGGTGTCATCCTCCAGAAACAAAGTGTTGCTCCCTGAATTGAGGGAGGAGACAGGAGAGCTGTATGTACTGTATTCCCAGGCCAAAGATCAGCAGGTTGCATGGCGCTTTGCTCTCTACCTGCTGAGATTTGAAACATTCTAAAACATGCATAAATCTAGCGTAAAATTGAATCTCAGGCGATGTAAACGCCACAAGCATCACAAGATAAATGATAATGGGGTAAAATCATGTGTAATTAATTATGCCCAAATCAATATTTCTAAATTTTCATTTGTAAATCCATCAAAGCCGCCCAATCACCTAACCCATCCACAATATACGGCTTGGATGGATTTGGGTCATTTTCTTCTTCATCCTAATCTTCAATCCCAATCTACAATAACTATTTCAATTCTCTGTTTCGAGCTTCCTCGGATAGCATTCACTACCACTGCCCATATCAATATCATCATCATTTTCAAAGAATCATACAACCAGATCATCACCTCTCCTCTAACATTGTGCGTTTGCCTCTTCGTGTTTGTGGATGGTGAAGGAAGGGATGCCAAATTCAACGACAAAGGCTTGATCATCATCCCTGTTATGGGACAATATAAGTACCACATCGGCAATACAAGGAAAGAAACCCTTGTATATCAGTGTCCACCTAGCTCATCAGTACGAGGCCTTTTAGTGACTACAGCCAAAAGTAAAATCGTGCAGGCTTGCCCCAAAGCTCATCTTAAATTAGAGCTTGTCGTAGTATCATGATGAATTAAGGTGTTCTGTTTTGGCATTTTCTTTGTTTTTATGCTCGATTTTAGGCTCATCTATTGCTTTGCTTGAGAATCTCGCTTTTAGCCACACTTTGCTTTCTCAGATGGCGGAAACCGAATGGCAGTGTAGTTTTCAATTCTCTTCCTTTATTTTTATTTAAATGATGATGAATTGTTAAATCTTTTTATTTTTTCTTCTGTTAAACTAGCTAGGAACGTACGGAGTACGTAGAGAATCAGCTCAGGCAGGCAGGGGGATGTGATTTGGTATTTTTTGCTCCATCGCGAAGCAATTCATTGCTTGAGAGAAGGACTACTGTTGCCCACATGCTTAATTGCACCTTTGTGCCTTCCTTCAATGGTGAGTTAATTAGAACGTCTTCATATATATATATATATATAGGGGCGAGGTGATCAGGTAGGTAGGTGTTTTGCCTTCATTAATTTCTCCAATTCGACGAGCAGCCGTGGAGAGAGGAGAGAGTCAAAGAAGACCGACCAATAACAACAATAATAAGAATGTCGGATTGGGCACCGATACTGCTGGGCGTGCTGCTGTTCATAGTGCTGTCGCCGGGGCTGGTATTCCAGATACCAGGGAACACAAAGCACTTCGAGTTTGGGAGCTTGAGAACCAATGGGAAGGCAGTCATTGTCCACACACTCCTCTTCTTCGCCGTCTTCACCATCCTCATTCTGGCCCTTCATGTCCGTATCTACATGGATTAGCTACCTAGTCTTCTTTCTTTTGTTGCTACGTTTGCTTATGTCTTGAACCCGATTTCATTTCTGTTTTGGGTTGCTATTGTTCCACTTGTATTTGTTTTTTTTTTCTAATATATTTGTATGGCCTGAACTTTGCACATAATAAACATTCAAGTCAATTTTTTCGATCTATAACATTCTGGCCCAAACTATACATCAAAGTTACTATATTGGCCAAACTCGATGTTTGACCGTTATCTTTGACGGTCAAACGCGTTGACTAACTGTCAATGCGCCACGTCATTGCCAAGACAACAACTTTCACTTAAAAAGTTATATATTTTCCACCTATTACCATTTTTATTTTTCATTTTGAACCAAAAAAGATAAATAAAGGAAAATGTTATTTCGTGTCCCTTATATCTTCCATAATTTTTTAAATAATTTTTTTTAAATTCCATCATTTATTTTCACTGATTTCAAATTAATCTTCTACATAATACCCATTTTCGATTTTTTCACAAATATAAACAAATAAAGTCAAAATTAAAAACTTTCCACCATTTATTTTCACTCATTCCGAATTAATTTCCAATTTTCCACAAATATGAACAAAGAATCAAAAAATGAAAAAAAAAATTAATAAAAATGAAAATTTAAAAAGTTTCACTATTTATTTTCAATAATTTCTAATTAATTTTCAACATAATACCCATTTGTTTTTACATTTTTATTTAAATTGTTGTATTTTTAAGGCCTAATACCAGAAAAGGGCCTATAGTTTGGACTTTTTGTCATTTGTATCCTTATGTTTATCTTGCGTCAGTTATGTCCCAACGTTTATAGTATCCATGTCAAAAATGTCCTCCGTCATCTTGTTGACCGTTAAACTTAACAGTTGACCAAACGATGGTCAAAGTTAATTTGACTAACTATGATGTGGCACCAACATGTCACTTGTGAAAAATGCCACATCATCAACAATAATATTTTAAATGAGTACAATATATTTCTTTTCATTTCCTGCTAATATATTATATATATTTTTCAATTAATAAATAATAAAAAAATTAAAATAAACCCCTCATCTTCCTATCCAACAACCTCTGCCAAAGATTTCCTTGTTCCTTCGTCACCGTTGCTGCAACCTTCTGATTCTTCATGGAAACTCAATAGCTTCCTGTAATCCACCTAGTTTGAATTTGTTCTCCTCCATTTCATCTATTCCCCAAATCCAAACCCACAATCGTTAATCCAAACCCATTTATACTCACCTTCTCCCCTGTTAATTCCCCCGACCAATCTACGAGAAACGCAGTCAGCGTCGACATCGAAAGAAAAGCCGACAAATCAGCTGGAGGCAAAGACGCCGCTTGCGTTGGGTCGACTCGAACACGCCTTCTGGTTTCGCAAAGAACAGAGCATTCTAGCCGGCGGATCTAAAAAAGCAGCGGCGACAGCGACGAACCGCAGCAAGCTCCTATCGCAGCAACAAGCAGAGAAAGAATCGTCGCGCTCCAGCCGGTAGGTCTGACCTCTGTGGCTCTGTTCCAATCGAACTCTTCATTGAGGAGGATCAAAAGAAATGTGATGAATTGAGATGAATCCGCCGACCTCTAGAATGGTTCACCAATTTGGGATTTTCTCCCTTTTGGGGTTCAATAGAAAGGGTCAAAGGGGAAGAAGAGACGCAGGAAGCCGGAGGGGGTTTGGTTGGATTTTTATTTTTGGGATGTACCGGGGAAAGGAGGTATAAGCCGGGAAGGAAGAACTAGGGATGTACTTCGCATCGATGACGGGGAGGCAATTTTGAAGGAGGAGGCGCAGAAGGAAATCGGGGACTTCGATGGTAACGGCGACTGGATGCTGGAGCTTGGGGACCTCGTCCGGATGGTCGATGGCGGCGGGGATTGTGACGGAGATCCACATGATGGCGGATTGGCGGTGTCGTCGAGGACAGTGGTGCTTGCTTGATGCCACTGACGGCGAAGAGGACGGAGATCAATGATGGCTTTATGGATTGATTTTTTATTTAATTTATATTAAGTGACATGACAAAAAATCCACATATGCCACATCATCGGTCAAAATTTTGATCATTGACTACTAACAGTCAAAGTTAACGGAAATTAAACATTGGGACATAACTGACGCATGATAAACATAGGGGTACAATTGTCAGAAAGTCCAAACTATAGGCCTTTTTCCGGTATTAGGCCTATTTTTAAATAAAATATCCATTTTTATAGGTGGAAAATATATAATTTTTTAAGTGAAAGGTGTTGACTTGACAATGACGTGGCACGTTGACCATCAGTCAATGTGTTTGACCATCAAAGATAACGGTCAAACATCGAGTTTGGCCAATTTAGTAACTTTGATGTATAGTTTGGGCCCGAATGTTATAGATCGAAAAAATTGGTCAGGATGTTTATTATGTGCAAAATTCAGGTCATACAAATATATTAACGCTTGTTTTTTTGTGACAATGTTCTTGAGTATCGGATC